CTCTATCTGATTGCAATGTACATAAATACCTGCTGTAAATATTGTTCTCTTAACTGTCCTATATACTCTATCTGATTGCAATGTACATAAATACCTGCTGTAAATATTGTTCTCTTAACTGTCCTATATACTCTATCTAATTGTAATGTACATAAATACCTGCTGTAAATATTGTTCTCTTAACTGTCCTATATACTCTATCTGATTGCAATGTACATAAATACCTGCTGTAAATATTGTTCTAACTGTCCTATATACTCTATCTAATTGTAATGTACATAAATACCTGCTGTAAATATTGTTCTCTTAACTGTCCTATATACTCTATCTGATTTGTCGCTGGTTGACGTTGTTCGTTTTCTTCTACTACCTTTACCCAAAGGAGATGCTGGCGCTTTCACATCCAAGTCTTCACCGCTGCCACTAGAAACCAAATGAATAACTAAATAAACAAACATAATCAGAAAAAAATCTGAGATCATTTTACTTATAGGTCTTTAGGGACTTTCGCAAATTTTGTCCCAACAATCTTATCATTGAAAAAAAATAAACTGAAGAAATGTCTCCTTGACTTTATTTATTTATTTATTTATTTATATATTTATTTATTTATTTATTATAAATAGTGTTTCTAGTAAAATAGGGAAGGTATTACTAAGATGGGTACAACTTTACATTCAGTAATATTTTGTTATTTAAATTATTGTTGCTATTGTGGTCAGCACAATGTTGCTAGGGAAGTTGTTAAACAGCATGGAGGTATGAACAGATACCTCCAAGTTAAACAGGAACTCAAATGAAAATTCAATTGTCATAATACATGATGGTGTAGTTACAGCCTCACATTTTCCGGGAAATAATTTCTCTAGCATACATTTAGAAACACGGAGTGATAGCCTTCCAGTAATTTCTAGAACAGTCACAAAACAATACAGGGTCACCATGCCAAATCTAGTTAAAGATGGTTGACTGGAGACTTATTTTTTTTCACTTATTGCTACTTACCCTAAATCCCTTTAGGGGTAAATAGCGGCAATATAATCCAAGCGAACACAAGTAGATGGGCAAGTTTGTGTAACCATAATAGCAGAAATTAACTATCACTCTGTATTATCCCTGATACAAGAAACATAATTTGTGACTATCTGGTATAAAAATGTATGCAAGCAAAAATTAGCCTTGATTGTGATCACATGTTTGCAACAGCCACAGTAGAGTTAATAGTTGACAGTGATTAATTATGGTTATACATTTCTATTCAAATACCACTCAACCTCGTTATGGCTTTACCACATATCCAATCCTCGAGTTATGTGTACACTTTCATTTTGAGGTGTACTTTAGAAATATATTGAGCTAAAAGCATAGATCAACTCAAGTTACTCAAGATAATGCTAACAAGATTATAATAATATCTAATATTGATAACAGTGATAGTAAGAGGCTAACCATTTTAAATGATGGGGTTGGCTGCAGATGGTGAGTCTTATCTGCATTTCTTTTTTTTTAATGTGCCAAGTGTTCCCTTGCAGTACCTTGCTTGCATATACTGTAAAAGACTTTATTTTCGCTTGGAATTAATTGTTGCTGATGGAGTGATTCAGTGAAAATAAAATCCAGCGAATATACCTTCTTTCCTGTATTTTACATTCAGCTCACCAAAAATTAGTGAAAATAAATTCCATACACATTACCTAAAAAGTCTTTTTCAGCGAAAATTAATTCCAGTGAAAATAAATTATTTCACGGTATGTTTTTTTCTTTTTCTGTGTCTAGCCTGTAATTAAAATTTCCCGCTGTCCCCTATAATTTTATAGGGTCAACCCCTAAATTAATTGCAAATTTTTGTTTCTAAAAAAAGAAACAACAAAAGATAAAAAGCAAAACCTCGGAAATACACATTTCTCTAAATACTAATAATTACTATTTGGCTAACCCATACTGAGCAAACACAAAAGTGTGCCCAGCAATAGAATACAATAGAAGAGAATAATGCTTTATTAAAATTAATACCGTAAAGAAAGAGTTAACATATTTTTTTAGGTTTTCAGATTAATAAAGTAAATAATAAAAGTACATGAAATGTAAAAATTGATTTAAAAAAGAACTCAAAATTGATGAACGACAAAAATACTACAGACTATTATTAATAATAATAATAATAATATAAGAAATATTAAAATACTGTGATATGTAAGTATATCTGTATGTAGCACAGAATATGTATAAAATATAAAAGAACATGACAAAATAAAAGAATTAGTCTTGTTTATATTTAACTAAATGAGTGTGATAAGTGTGATGAGAGTGATAAGATGGTTTGTATTTGATGACTGTAGTACAAGTTTAAATTGTTTATTTTAAGTTTTGGTAATCACTGTTAATTCCTTTAAGAATATTATATATGTCATCTATGTGTTCTGTGTACAGTTTACATTCTAGTAAACGATGTAATTCATGCTCAATATAACACCACCACCCACCCCACCCCTCCAGCCAACTAGAGGTCATGTCACCATCACGACACGTGGTATACGGGTTGTTGGAAAGATGGCAATTTCAAAAAAAAAGAAGCCGAGACAAGTTTCAGTCTCATATAATACATTTAACGTCGGAAATATTTGCTATTTACCTCCCGTTCGAGTTGGCAGAGCCAACCGAGCTTGGCAGATCGCCATCTGGGTCGCCGCTGCCATCGAAGATGTCAGCCATGTTGTTGTTCTTGTTCTGAAAACAGTGACTACTATTTTCACAACAATGAGGCAGACGTCGTTAAAATACGCAACACACATAGAAAATGTAATTAGAACCGATAAATAGAAATGGTAATATGTTTTTTTTAAATGAGTTAATATTCAAACTAGCTTACGGAAATTTGATGTTTGGCTTTTATAGCGACGAATCTCGTACTGTAATAATTTGAATAATTAGGTAAACAGTGTTTCGCGCAGTTTGGTTTATTGTTGTACTGTCTTTAGACAAAACGTATTTCGAAATTGAATTACTTGAGTTGTGTGTATTTTTGGTTCTAACGCAGGCAGTATAAGTTCTTATAATTAAACTAGATCGAACTTAACAATAAAGGTTCCGTTTCAGCTATAAAGTGATTGAATTGCGTCGTATTCTAGCCATTTACTTACGTACCAGCTGTTCACTAGCGTTCACCATATCATGAATATTAATAGAAATGTATTAACCAATTATTAACCAGCCGTGGTCGCCATTTTGGTTTAGCATGGCTTTGATAACCCGCATTAACAGGTTCGTACTTTTGTCATTATTTTGTGTTTTTTTGGTTAGAAATAGTTCTGGAATACCAAATGTAAGCCTATGAACGAGTTGCATCTTCTTTTACCAGCGCAGGCAAACTAAAACATCGCTAGTTTACCTTACACATCAGGCTACAGTGCCGATGGCATTCTTGTCGTTTTTCGCCCTTTGTTCGAACCTCTGAACGTATTGAATAAAAAAAACATTTTTCAGGAAATTGACGAAATTTATGAATCTACCGAGTAACTTATGATAACCATTCAAAACTAATATTCACAGTAAATCTTGAGAACATTATCTAAGTGTCTGCTTGGAATAAGAGTGGCATTTTATTTTCAATTTTCTAGAAATTTTCCTTTAAAAATACTTGTAATAAATCTATCACTACAACAAAATTGTTATCAAATTTAACAACCAATTTCATTTTTTATATTCAATAGTCCCTTCACATCATAATCACTAAATTTAACATTATTATTATTATTATATTAGCATCGAAGGAGTGGGTGGTTTTACCCATTGGTACACTATTTTTAGAATCATACATGTATTTCCATTATTTATTGTGAGATGTGCATTTTTTAATGCTTTGTTTCTTTTGTTTTCACAATATTTTGTCATTATAGTTAGTAAAGTAAACTTTATTGTCATTGTACCCTCTTTAGGGTATTAAATTGATTACAATAAAGTAAATATGTTTAAGAAAAAAACATAAAACAATTAAAAAAAAATGACCAGATAAACGAAAGTAAAATATAATAATTACTAAAATAGCTAGATAATTTAAAAAAACTGAAACCCATAAAAACACTTTCAAGCTGACTTTTTTTTTATTTGGGGGGGGGGGGCTTAAGATTTTTTTTGTTTCGCATTCAAAAAAAAAAAGGAAACGATCCACTTAATTATTAAAAGCATGTATAAATAAAAATCATATTTGTTATGTCTATAATTTATGCAAGCGTATACACTACATGTAATAATAGACAATATGGCTTGGTAGAGCACAGGGAGCCCAGGAACTATGATCAACTGTACGCACTCCCTATGAGCGTGGGGGGGGGGCGTATCGGCTGGTATCTAGTGTAAGAAATAGACAAGGGATGAAGGCTCCAGTCAGCTCACATTTTTTAAACTCGAAAAAACAGACGAAAAGATTGAAAAATAAAATCTATAAAAAATACCAGGTTGAAGAATATTAGTTGCTCCTTCAAATTTCGCCAAAGCCTTACCTACATTTTACCGATGTCTGCAGAATAAATCAAGAAAACTACAAAAATTGACCCCATTTAGGAATTCCTAACGGTTTGCCCGAACGCATGGTACAGTTGGAGGCGTGGCCTGTTCAGCATTTTGTCAACAACCAATCACAAAACTGGTTACGAACCAGTTGAGCAAGGCTAATCGAGTCGTGACCTCGATGTGGTTCGTAACTAAAATTTTGATTAAGAATTATAGCCAAAAGGAAATTGTGTTCATTTAGTCTAAAATTATCCAACATTTTATAGAAAAATATGTAAAAACCGGCATGTTGTTCCACTAAGTACTCAAAGATTTAATGCACGAATGCCTCAGGTGTGAAACAGATATTTTTTCTGTCATCGTTTTTTTTTTTTATTTCAGTGCATTCATAATATTGAATGTCACTGTCATCTGGCCAGTGTTCTCACTAGAAATTGAAACCAATGTAGCAGTAATAATGTACATACTAATTTGCATAACTTTGCTTATTATTTGTTAACATATTCATTAAATCACTTTAATTACACAATTGTTCACTTGCGAAATTAAGAGTGACAAACAAGTTTTCGTCAATTTATATTAATTTGATTTAAAAAGTCAGTGGGAATTAATAAATCTCTCTGGCAGGCAGGATAATGAATGTGACATCAGCATGGTGGTAAAACAAGCATTTTGATAATACAGCCACACTGATTGTATCTTGGGGAGAACACAGCACTGCTAACTTTCGTTTGAAGCGCGAAAATGTTTAGGGTATTTTGATACAGAAATCATATTCCATATTTGAACAGGGCTGCGACTGTTGCCGTAATCCTGCATTATCACGTTGTAATTGCGCTGAAAACAAACACCTATATAATCAAAGTTTCTCTAAAATTGCAACTGTTCCGCTCCATTGAGTCTATTACCAGACAAAACTGAGCTGGTGATGTTATCGGCTGCCATGTTTCTTTAAAATACTTGCAATGAATGGAACTCTAGAACAAGGCTGACATTTTAAAGCGAGGAAGTCGTCACCTGCGCATGCGTCAGATGGCCATAGCGTGTCATTGTTTACAAACAAGCGTCTACCCATGAGCGTTTTTAGTGTGTTGTTATCGTCGCTTGGGACTCAATTCCCACGCGTACTTAGGTGACAACCCTCGCGGTATAAGGCAACGTTATTTTCCACATGTGCTAAAACCGTTTCTGCAAGTACGGGGTGCCCGTCAGTAATTTTAGGACGTCTTAAACTAAATCAGCATGGCACCAGCTTATCTTGTTCATACATGTTTTAATGCCAGCTTAGCTATAAAGCTGATCTCTAAACTGAGTTTTTGGCACATGTGTATTTACTACACACAGCCAGGGTTGGGATTGATTTATTGTGTTCTGTAAATCAAATTCCTAGCTTTATTTTCATGTTACATTTTTGTTGCCAAATTTGATTGACTTACATGGATGAGATTTCACAAAGTCGCTGCATTTTATCTCGGCATATAGCTACAAAATCAGTCTTGTTAGAAAGCACACAGTCACCAACAATGAATCATTCAAGGTCATTGACATCACATTCAAAGTCCCCCCTCCCAAAATGGAAAAAGAATCCCATCACTGAACACAAACGTTTCTCATGGAGTAAACCATTTTTCATTCTCATTTTGAGCTAGTTATTACTACAAGCAGGAGGTATAACATAGGTATGTTGTTATAGGTATAACAGTTAGTGTATCACCAAAACAACAGAAAGTATGCACTCGGGCAGTACAGGGTCGCATTAACCTCTGATACTCATCGACCAATACAGTCTCCTTCATGCATGTTTTGTAGTATTCTCCTAATAACCTCATACCCCAGTAATATTTTACTTTCAAAGTGATTATATTCACTGATACGTGTTTATTATTATATGCCCTAAATTAATCTTGTCATTTTCTGAAACCTCCAAGTTAGTCTGATTTTTAGGGTCATCGATATTTCACACAACAAATCAGTGCATGAATCGAGAACAATATTTGAGTACATTGTCGGAGAATAAAAATTTTTCTGATGTTTGGAATTTAAGCTGTTCTGATCTGATCATATTTTTTTAAGCCCACTTTAAGCATCTGAAAAATGCTAACTCAGTGGTTTTCGGAAAATTTTTTTTTTTTAGCATTCACAGCACTGGGTTTTAAATTCACAAGTTCTTCTAGTAAAGTAAAGGTTTAATTGTATGTTGCCAAGTGCACTTTTGCATAATTTGTTCAGGGGAAGTAACTTCGAAAAAGTCAAAATTATTGTTTTATGCACAATTTGTTGAATAAAAAACTTCCATGTATAAATCCTATCAAAAAACCAAACATTTTGCTTGTCTCTGAATTGTTTTTCTTGATTCAAGGAGTAATTACTTTAGGATCTGACTGTACAAATACATGTAGATGATTAGATTTCATATTCTTGACTGGAAAGATGTCCTACACAATTATTGTACAGAAGTAACTTTTAAATATGCCACAGCATAAAAATAAGATCCTAAAATATTTTTGATTTTTCTCTGATGCATCTTTTAACATTTGTGTAATTTTGTTTACAGATTATTTTTATACCATTGATGCGTGTATGCAATACTCTTCCAAAGGTCAAAGGTCATCCTGTGTAATTTAATCACAATATAATATACACCATAGGTCATCAGTCATCGCCATGGAACCCAAATACACCATAGAGCAAATTGATTTGCTGAGACGGTTACGGAAAAGTGGTATGACGAAAGATGAAATTGTGCGAGCACTAGATACAATGGAAAGGCTGGATGGCGAATACGATAACAGATATGGATTCATTAGGAACTCTAATTCAACCAATCAGAGCAAGGAAAGTCAAAATCAAAACCAGAACAGAAATGTGACCTACCCTAGCAATGGTAGCTATGGTAACAATGCAGGGAATTATGGGAACAATTGCATGATGGGTGTGAACAACACCTCAAATGTTTCTATGCCCGTGATTAATTTCGCACAGCCAAGTGCAGTGTATACATCTACTGGAACATCAAGTACGTTTAGTTTTCTGCAGGCAAATAAACCTGCACAAACTCAAGTGACTACGACTTCAAGCACCAATAATAGTAGTAGCAATCCCACTATGTCGTGGCACATTCCTGGTAACTACGGTAACACAGGGTCTATGGACACAGGATTAACTCCGGAGGACGAAGAAGTAGAGGAACTTATCAGGTACTTAAGGGACAGGCCAATATACAATTAGAGGACCCGGAAATGTCTATGATTCTGCTTTGTCACATAAAAATTACCTAATGCATACTCTGAAGCGTTTAGTTTTTGTAATTTCAGGGTTTTATGACATGACATTTATTTTTGAATAGAAAAAATTTCATGAAAATCACTGATACTCTGGATCTAATGAATCCTCGGGGGCGGACATCCGGGCATTTTCACCGCCTGGCAACCCGCGGCGGTGAAAATAAAGGCCAAAAATTCGCAGAAAACGGTATTTTGGGATGATTGTTGAGACTTCTCTGAACAGTGTAACAAGATTAGCCCTACATGTGTAACATATATACCGGTAAATTTGGTTGTTCGGGATTACTTCAAAGTTGAGTTTGTGTTGTTTTCTTGAATTTTCACCGGCTCGACCGGCGTTCCACAGCAGCGCGCACAGAGCCCATAGAAATGCATGTACAGTGGTGCGCGTCGTAGCAACGTGGAACGTCTTGTGACGTAGCTCCGCCCCCGAGGATAATGAATTTCATGACTTGCTGAATTTGTGAAAATTTGTTTGTCAAAAAATTAGTATAATACAGCATTCGGATTAGTCAGGAACAGACTTGACCTTTCGGGTCAGAGGTCGTTGTTGCAGGACAAATCATGCAGAAAATACATCAAAGTGGAAGGGAAATTTTTGGTATACAATATTTGGTAGATAGATTATTTCTATCATAATCATGCATTTAATACAGACCCATGATTAAGAAAGAATGACTACCACACTTTCTTGACCAAATTTGTCTTCAGTTTTTTCTTATACTGCAAAATGACTTATTTTCACTGGGTTTAAATTTCACTGAATTAGGATTTCAGACATACTCAGTGGGTTTTAAATTCACGGTTTTATCATTTAGATAATGTGTTCTATGCTAACTTTTACATATTCACTGGGTTTTAATTTAGTGCATTTGCAAGTCAGCAAAATAAGCAAAATTAAAATCCAGTGAATAATTAATCCTTTTACAGTATTCTTCAATATTTCTGGAAATGAACCCTAATTTTCGAGCCAACAGACAATTTTTCAGTTTTTACTCAAAAAATTTAGCTATTTTTGTCCAAATCTTTTGAAGGAAAGTGCAGACTATAAACAGAAGTATTTTGTGAATTTGTGATGAAAAGAGGAAACTGGTGGTGAAAAAGTTAAAAAAGAATGATAACCAATTTCATTTAGTCAGTATAATGAACCTTTATCAAATTCTGGTAATCCACTATATCAGAGGTAGTACGTGTACAAAATTATTTATGTGCTTAGAACTTAGCTAATTTGCATGAACAAGTTCAAATTTAATTAAAAATATGTGTACCGTTAGATTAGGTTTTTGAGAATACAATTATTTTTTTTCCCTCATCCTTTGACAAGTAAAGATTCCTGTTGAATTGTTTCTCACATCCATGTGGTCATGCCATACGAATCTGATACTGTGGAATACTTTATTTTCGCTGAAAAGGCTTTTTGGGCGTTTTGCTTGAAATTTATTTTCACTGATTTTTCCTGAGTTTAATGTGAAATACAGGAAAAAAAGTATATTCGCTGGATTTTATTTTCACGGAATCATCCCTTCAGCGAAAATAGCAAAAATAAAGTATTCTACAGTAGTTAACAAAAATCTTGTTTACTTTAGCAGCTATATTTATTACTATACTATAATAGACAGTACGTCGACGCATTGACCTCCGCTGCTCGTCGGTCGATACTCTCGCTGTACTGTCTTTGAGCATACTTTGAGGTATCTTTATAATAACCTCATTATTATACATCTTTTCCTTCCAAGGACACATCATGGGTATACCGAAATCTAAAAAGTTTGGAACAGAATCAGCCAACTTCTTTGTGTGAAGTCTGGTCAAACCCTGATGGCAGCCATGTTTGTTTTTATTATTAGATGACGCTTACACGCATGATCATTTCATATTTGGAATTCGCATTTCCTTATATGGTAGGATGAAAATATCCTGTAAAATACTGCAAAATTACGGCACTCTGTAACTTATGGCGTTACGGTGACGGATGTATAACAATAGTATTTATTGCTATATTAACAATTGTAATATTTTTCAGAAAAGGACCATTATCTGTGAAAGAAGAAATCAAATCGTTCATGGCAGACCGAAAGATATCGCAAATGTTTGTGTCGCAGAAAACGGGCATCAGTCAAAGTTACATATCATTGTTCTTAGTGCAAGGTATCGAGATGAAATCCAACACACAGAAGACGTTGTACTCGTGGTATGTACATGAAAAGAAAGGACTTCCTTTCACTACAAGTAAGGAACACTTCATAATTTTTTTGGAGGGGGGGTACTTGGTGGCTGAGGGTAAAGATGCTGTGAGGTAAAGCTATGCCTCTCAGATGATATACATTAGTCTTCAACCAATCACACACATTACTGGTTATCAAGACCTCACTTCCTTGCAGTCAACAAACTGACTCCACTTGATTTGGGGGGGGGGGTCCCATTTTCACTTTATATTCCTACATAATCTGGCCTGTTAGAGAGGGTACACTGTCTTCAATATTGCTATAAAAAATTGATAATTGACAAAAAACGTACAAACTTTGACATTTTTATTACTACACTACATATTTTGCAGCCATTGCACCGAAGAATCAACCAAAGCCCACCCAGGAAGAGCCGACTGATAACATTGCCATGAGTACACCAACTACCAGTGCATCTGACAAAAATGACAAGGGTAATACTGGTAAAAAAAGATTTGTCTGGAAGGATTCTTGCATACCAATTTTAGAAAAATATTTTGAACAGAATCAGTATCCAGACGACTACGAAAGAGAAGTTATTGCAGATGCATGTAATTCAGTTATTCAGATTCCTGGTGAGTACCTTTGAAACTTCATTTAATTATTCAGATTCCTAGTGAGTACCTCTGAAACTTCATTTAATTATTCAGATTCCCGGTGAGTACCTTTGAAACTTCATTTAATTATTCAGATTCCTGGTGAGTACCTTTGAAACTTTATTCACTTATTCAGACTCCTGACGGGTACTTTTGAAACTTTATTTAATTATTCAGATTCCTGGTGAGTACCTTTGAAACTTTATTTAATTATTCAGATTCCTGGTGAAACTTTATATAGCTATTCAGATTCCTGAACCATGTAATGTAATATGTACAGGAGCACCAATGAGTGACCATGTGATATAGGATTTATTGTTAACATATGAGAATTACTAATGTCACATTGTCATGAATTGGAGATCCTATATTTCCCATTGTCTTTGTTTCACAGCTTTTGCTGTCATGATAAATACATTGGAATGAGTGAATGTCTGAAATTACTGGTATATAATGAAAACTTTAATAAAACCATATTTTAAACAGTTGTTTAAACAGTCATCAAATACTGATAATTTGAGCCATGTTTTGGCATTTTTTGAGAGGACGTCAAATTATGAAATTTTGACCATCATATCATCAATACCCCATTCAATATTGAGTAGGGATATCAAATATATCCGGTGGGTGGGCTTATCACATGAAACTGACAGGCATGGTAAATGCGATAATGTTGTATATTTGTATTTCACAGGATATGAATTACCATCTGATAAATTAGTGACGCCAATAAAAGTCTACAATTGGTTTTGCAACAAAAGAAAAGACCAGAAAAGAAGAAAACATATCGGTAAATGTAATTCTGTAATTCAATGCAATACTGGTACTGCATTAGCATACACCAATGTCATTAGATACATCCTCTCCCCACTACCACCACCACTTATGACCACTACTGCAAAATATGTCAGAAAACAGAAATGTAATAATAATCGAGGATTTAGAATGATTATAAATTTCATTTATATTAAAGGCACAACTTCTCTGATGTTGACACAATAATCAAATGTCTAAATCTTCGCTTCAATTTTCCTTATAGCATATTATTGAAGGGAATTGTCGCTTCTTTTTCACAGCGTAAATTACTGTTTATTTTTCTGTTTATTTTCAAACAAAAACAGAAAATATGACAAAAAAACAGAATTGCAATAGTACATTTCGAAGATAGCATGACATTTTTCTATCATAAAGAATTATGTGTATTATTTGTTGAACCCAATACTGTAAAAATACTTTATTTTCGCTTGGTATTAATTTTCTCTATTTTCACTGAAGGAAGGAAGGAATGATTCAATGAAAATAAAATCCAGCGAATATACCTGTTTTCCTATATTTTACATTCAACTCGTCAAAAATCAGTGAAAATAAATTCCATACAAAACACCCAAAAAGACTTTTCAGCGAAAATTACTTAAAAAAAGTATTTTAAAGTACCATATTTGTTTTATTAGAAGAACATCCCTAATAGAAATTTCACATCAAGCAAAAATAGACACACCTCAACTATGTATGGCTTTGCTGCAGTGCAATACGCAACCATAGTAGCTCTATTATAAGTACATCTCCAATAAAAACATAGTTATATTGTAACGATGCACTAATTAACATGTCACAATGTCTACTGTTTCATTGCAGCTGAAATGGAAGCCGCAGCAAATAATGAACTTCGATTGACAATACCAAATCCTGGTTTTGCAACATCATCATCGTCATCGACGTCATCACAAATAAAGACTGAAGTCAATAGTCCTGATGATTGTAGTATAATATCGGAAAAGCGAAGTTGCTCTCCCAATCAAGACCCGATGCAATTGGCAGTTGAAATGGCAGCCGTTAATCATTCTATTCTAGCACTTGTCAATCAACACGATGACGAAATGAGCGACGATTCCGGGCATCAGTAGAATGACCTATCAGTAGCCCTCATATAGATCACAGGGTGTAGAATAACCTATCAGTAGCATCCATATAGGTCACATGGTGTAGAATGACCTATCAGTAGCATCCATGTATGTCACATGGTATAGAATAAACCTTTCAGTAGTATCCATATAGATCACATGGTATAGAATAACCTATCAGTAGTATCCATATAGGTCACATGGTGTAGAATGACCTATCAGTAGTATCCATATAGGTCACATGGTGTAGAATGACCTATCAGTAGCATCCATGTAGGTCACATGGTATAGAATAAACCTTTCAGTAGTATCCATATAGATCACATGGTGTAGAATGACCTATCAGTAGTATCCATATAGGTCTGGTGTAGAAAACGTATCAGTGACTTCAATTTAGGTCACATGATGTACATTAACCTATCAGTCATCTCCTTATATGCCACATGATATGCAATGAGTTGTTTTTAGCCTCCATATTTTATCAATATGTGAAATGGGCTTATCAATAGCTCAATATAGGTCACATGATAGCAATTAACCTATCAGTATCCTGTTTATATATTGGTGGGTCACATGATAGAAGGTCAAAACTGAAGAACAAATAATGATACAATTTGAAGCAAGGTAATTTGTCATCTTGTGAAAAAAAACACTGTGCAAATATTTTTTTTTGTATTCATCATTCTGACTTGTTTTTTTTATAAACATGTGAGTGAATTTTAACAATTTTAAATGCACATATGTGTCATTCATTCAGCTGTAGAAAAAAAGAAAATTTGTCTGGTTGATTCATTTTAAGTGCAAACACAGGTCTTTCTTATTCTGAAATTACCATTGTTCTTTTTTTTTGATTTTTTATCAAAAGTTGTTTTTTTTTCTTTTTAAAAACAAACAAAATTAAACTCTAATGTTAATATTTGTAATCAAACACCTGTACAGGTCCCTGAAGGTTTTTCTTTTTTTTGAGCCTCACAAAATATCACCCAAACACAAACAAAAAGGACAGAAAAATCTTTGTGGAAAATGATTAAGTAGCCTGAACTTTATTTGTTTTATGTCATATTTGGCTTATGACAGGCTGGTATCCTTATTTTGTGTGAAATTGTCATAATATACCGGAACTCACTTTCCCAATAGTGTACTTCAAGAGATCATGGAGCTATGAGATTATAGCTCCATGGTTACCGGTAGACCATTCATCATCTGATCCCTACCATAGTTTCTCTAATAATAGTACCTGCATTTACTTTAACCTTTTCATAACCAGACTTTCTCGCCCAAATTTTTCTCCACTTTTTGTCTTATATTCTTTGATATTTCTGGAAATGAATCCTAATTTTAGAGCCAACAGACAAAATTTAATTCAATTTTAAATTTTCACTCGAAAAATTTGGCAATTTTTGTCACAATTCTATGAAGGAAATAGCAGACTATAACATTGACTATTTTGTGATGCAAAGAGGGAACTGGTGGTAAAAAGGTTAAAGCGCGGTGGTTGTCGCGCAACGCATGTTCGAATTTCATGTAAATAAACAATGTATTTTACATGTGTTGTATACGTCGCTACGAGTCTCTCATCGAACAGGACGCAGCGCGACGACTGTCACCCTTAAAATGACATATAATGATCCGCCGTACACTAAATACAATTTTTAGCAAATATGAGCTCATATAATAAATACATTACATTCAAATGGCCTCATTGAA